AAGAATGCTGTATTTGGGTAAACAATGATGCTTGGCCTTCATGCAGCATGAAGTTCTTCAGTCCATCTAGCTTACTGCCTCCATAAACTAAATAATCCTAATTAGGCTATTGAATATTTCTGGSTTTAGATAGAAAAGGTCTGGTTTAAATAAATAAAACCTTTCACAGAAAATGCATAAAATTAATTTTTACAACACAAAAGGTTTTGACTGAAAACTTTCCCATGTCAACCCTAGAATGAAAATATTCCAGGTTAGACTAAAAATGCTTAGTCTTTAAAGATCATGTTAAATATTCCATGGAGGGGGAAAAAAAGTGTGGCTTGCTAACATATCTGGGAAACAAGCTGTATTCCTCACTATTGGAAACATGTTCATCTGACCRTATAATTTTGGGCTCTAATTTAGCATTCATATGCCTGGAGTTTTAATGGMAGATTGCTTATTTTCATCAGACCAGTAAAACAGTATCAAAACTCAATATGAGCATTTGTGCAGATATAAAATCATCCTAATTTGTTGAGCTGAACTTGTAAATKAAAGGCCACGTGAAGGGATATTTGAACTCAAGTCCAAGAGCAAACTTGCTACTTGTTATTAGACCTCCCTGTGGACAGTCTTACTCGGCCCTAGGAAATGCTGGTGTTTGATTTAAGAGGCTTTCTAAAACTCAYTACATTAAATCACATACTTCAGACCTGAGGAGCTCAGAAGCCTGGAAGTTTGGTTCTATTTTTTCCAGTRATACTGTTTTCATTTAACAAAACACATCACCAAAAACCACATCTTGCTGCAGAAAGTGAGCATTGATTTAATTTTGCTTTGTAGAACCAGGTTACTGACAATTCTTTCTTCGTGGCAATGGATGTAAAACAGTAAATTTCAGTGTTTTGTTTGCTTAAATAGAACATTTTCTGCTCTGTACAAACTAATTTTCCAGGCCTGAGCCTACGTGTTTTTTAGATTTTTTCCCCTTTCAGCTTCTTTACTGGATATTTAGCTCTTCCTTCCTTGATGGGAATTTAATAAAACCCAGCTGACAAGTGCTCAGTGAAGTGACCAAGCAGCACCTGAAGGAGATGGGATGTAAGATCCATATAAAATGCCTCAGTAGGATCATTGTTATTAAAAGGATAACCAAATGAATTCATAATGATGGGACACTCATTTCAAAGTGTTTCCATAGCTGTTACACATCAAGRAAAATACGGAAGTTACCTCATTTTYTCCAATCCTAAATAACCTTATAAACTCACCAAAGAAATTAATTAGCCAATATTTCTTGAAAATTCGTAACAAAGTTTCCATTTTTCCGTCAGATAATTCCTTAGTGCATTCTGGTTTTTAACTTCCTTCGAGTCTGGATCATTTTGATGTGTGAACAGACATTTTGTGTTTCCATGGGTTATTTCCACAGGTTCAAATATCTTCTGTAATTGACATTTTCCTGCTTACAAAAGTTGTCAAACTTGAAAGTAACAGTTGATTGATAAAACATGGGTTTTGTCTGTAACTTGACTTCATTGTTGGGGCTTATTGCTCAAGCTCTGAATAGCTTCTCTCTTCAAAGTGACTTGCATTGAGAGTTTTGGGGGGGTTTTGGTTTGGGTTTTAGGGGTTTTTTTTTTAACCACCTATGTTTTAATCTACTCTTATAAAATAGAAAGCAGCTATTTTTCTTCCCTTTTTTTTTACTGGTAGATCTATTCAATAATTCGCTTTCACTTTAGAATCATTACTCCCTAAATAAAGGAGTATAACTTGACTTTTAAAGTAATCTTCCAAAGTCTTCATAATCATTCAGCAACATTGATGCTTTCCAACCCTGACTCTTAAGGAAAAAGGGGAAAAAGAAGGAAGCACTGAGTAAAGCACTGATGTGTGAAGCATCACAGAGGACAGGAGCTACACAGGCCATAAAGCAGCACCACAGMTGTTACTTAACATTTAAAAACTTCACCATGATGTTGCTCAATACTAAAAACCCCACACACAATAACTACAGAAGGAGCACTTCTTCTAGTGAKGAGAAATGCACAAAAGCACGACCCAGAGCCGAGTTGGGTCTTTTTTGTTGGCTTTAGTGGATTCTGAGCCTTGTTTGTAATAAAAACACAAATAAGTCAGGACAGTGCTGAAGTGATCAGCAGTGGTACAGATGGGGATGTCYTTGCCTCTGCACAAGTCATTGCCAATACAGGACTTAGTGGTGGGCAACTATTCACTATTTCCACCTGGATGTCACTGAATTGTAACACAGACAACTCAGCAGCACCATAACAACACCTCACAGCTCTCCTCTAAGGCAGGGTCACACCACCCTTCTGCTGACCCCAATTTCTTCCTTCATGTCAAAGAATCATAGAATGGTTTGGATTAGGACCTTAAAGCTCATCTCATTCCAGTCCCCATCATGGGCAGGGACACGTTCCACTGTCCCAGGCTGCTCAGAACTCCATCCAACCTGGCCTTGAACACTTCCAGGGATGGGGCATCCACAGCTTCTCTGGGCAACTTGTGCCAGTGCCTCACCACCTTCACAGTAAAGGATTCCTAATATCTAATCTAAACCTGCTCTCTTCCAGTTTGAAGCCATTGCCCCTCGCCCTGTCACTTCATGCCCTTGTGAATAATCTCTCCATGTTTCTTGCAGGCTCCCTTTAGGTACTGYAAGGCTGTAATTAGGTCACCCAAAGCCTTTTCTCTTCCAGGCTGAACAATTCCAATTTTCTCAACCCTTCCTCATAGCAGGCATGCTCCATCCTACAACTCGCCAGCCTTTCTTTGAACTTGGGTCCAACAGGTCCATGTCCTTCCTATGCTGGAGACCYSAGAGCTGGGTACCACACTCAGTGMAGTGCCCTGGTTTGCTTCACTYGGGGCAGGACCTGKATGCAGGAAGYAAGTGACAGAAAATTTGATAAAGCCACAGAGTGCAACAGAGCTGGAGAGGCTGAGCTCTGCCCWGACACAGCTCTCCCACAGAGATCACCTCCAACCTCTCCACTCCCAAACACGAGAGCTCAGAGATGGCTCATGGACACCATGCCATGGCCAGTCTGTGCTYTAATTTAGCCCCACTGTAACCAGTGCAGTCTCAGAATTAAATTCAATTGTCCTGGATAGGGATGGATTAAAGCAAGAGGCAATTTTTCTTTTGAGTCCCAGCCCAGACACTGTATTTTCACATGCCTTTGGCACAAAACTGTTATTGCTTTCTGAAGCAGTTGTTGTTTCAGTGACATGACTTCCTGCAGGGGCGTTTTAATTATGGTTGGTGTATCACCTAACTTCGTTATGTACTGCTTTGAAGTTGTCCTTTGTATCTGACAGAAAGAAGATGGAAAACAAACATGACTGTTTATTCCCTTCCCCTTGCCCTGCATTGGCTTGGTGAAGCCTTTGCTTTGGATTACGCAAACATGGAGCAGATGGAAAAGGAGAACCCAAAGAAGAGGCCAAAGTGCGTGTACCCGACTTTTTTGGGTGGCAAGTGTTTTCTCTTAAGCTGCCTTTATGATGAGTCAAGCAGATGTATAAACCCCCAAATGGCAGCGCAGGCCCTGAAGATAAAAACTTGCTGCAAACTGTGTTAAATTATTATTTCCAGTTGAAAAAAAAAATTAAAAAATAAAATCACAGTTCCTGAACTGTTCCTACAGCACATCTGTGATAATAAGGGAGATGCTTCACTATGGCAGAGAGGTGATATTTGCAAACCTTTGCATCTAACTGCAAGAAGCGATACCCCAGCCACTCACAAAAGAGAGGCTGGGAACGCTTGCTGGTTGGACTGCCAAGGCAGGGAGGAAGGATTCCACGTTAGCCAGATGGCAGCAGAGTATGCACAACYCACAGTGGGCTGCCCCAGCCTTGCTCTCCTGTAACCTGTGCACTTTTAAWGAATTTGGGCATCCAGGGCTGGGTGATGACATTCAACAGTCCACCTCCTCCACATCCGTGTAACACGTAATTAAGACCCTTTATATAGAATTAATCAATTTTTTTTTCAAGAAAATTTAAAAAAAGAAAATTAAAAAAAAACTTTCAAGAAAATTAAAAAAAAAAAAGAAGGTTCCTAAAAATCATTGTGGCAGCAACTGCACAAAGCATTTCAAACCATCTGCTGCAAAGCATGTGCCCAATGAAGCTGCCAACTGTGATATTAATTTTGGAGGAACCCTCTTTCTCATTTTTAAATGAATTTCTACAGCTTTAAAGTCAGACAGGAGAAATTTTGTAGGATAATCAAAATCTTCCCCTTCCCAAGAGAAGTGGGAAGTCAACCAAGAGAAGTCACCACAAGAACAGCAGGRTCAATTATTACTAATTATTTCTTCATTAACAGGGCAACTTCAGTCCCAATCTGCCTCTCCCATTGAGGCCAGAAGTTCTCACCTTCCAAAAGGAAGCTGAGCAAGACATATGGAGATTTTGCCATTTGTGGCTTGGCAAAATGGAGATGAAGGACTTCTAAAACCTTTAACTTGGGTTTGTTTTCTACACTGGGATGATTATGACATTACTCATCACAACATATCATCTTCCAGCCCCAGGGGACCATCCTGGGGAGACCCAGTGGGTTACAGAACTTACTTCTTATTTTAGGGCTTTTGCTTTCCCTGCAGTTTTCACCCCCACAGCTGAGATCCCAACCTGAGAGAGTTTGGAAGTTGAAGGTGATATTTACACTGAAATTTCAAAGGGTCACAATGCTGCTTCAGAGCTATGTGCAGTCATAGAGATTCTCTGTTTCTATAACAACTGGTTTTAAAGGGAGTTTTTGGGTTTGGTTTTTTGCCTTGAATGTTGTGCCATGATGAGGAAATACCTTAAAATAAARATGCACCTGCACCACTTTTGCAAGTGTTTGGTGACTTGAACTCTTTGCTCAGGGGAAACAGAAATCCAAACACACAGAGGAATCCTCCAGCCACTCTGCACTCCCCCTTCCCAACCCTGCACACCTGGTGTTTAACATACATAGAGGAGTCTCTCACCTTCTCCTGCAGCCCAAAGTCTGGAACTGAGCAGTAAAGCTGARAGGGACACAAGCCTGGCACATCATCTACTTGCTGGTCCCTCTCCCTCCTTTTCAGGTTCAAAGACTTTCCATGGTGTCCCAGTGAGTAAACTTCATTAAAGAGGAGAAGAGTCAGCTCCTGATGCTGAAACCCCTCTGCTCATATACCTCAGTYACACCAGCTGTCCACACCCACAGCCACAACATGAAAAACCATCCCAAAATCCTATTGCTTCAGAATCTTTGAACCCAGACAGATGTCCTGGGATGAAAGGGGAAATGAAGCTGCCGAGTTCCTTTCCTGCCATGACAGAAGTGTACACACAAGTCAACTACTTCCTATGGCCAGCCCCACCCTCTGAAATTCTGAGAAAAAAGGGAAAAAGAAGCTCAGCTAATGAGAATTGCAGCACTGTTCACACCACAGTAGTTAAGGTTGTATTCATTATAAATCCCCWTTTCAAGGTTTCTGTCACCCTGCCATAAAAATCATTCTGGGTTGAAATTTAGCATCCAARCTTTCTGCCCAAGGACAATATTTTTGACAGAATTTGGAAACAATTGGTTTGGCAAAGTGCAGCCGAAGTTTTAAGGAGTGCAAAAAAGAATAGTGGTTAGTGGTGTCAGATATTATTATTTTATGCTCTCATAACTTAAAAACAACTAATTTAGGTTCTGTGGTTGCTATTACTCCTTAATTTCCTCTGAAATAGTTGGCCCGTYCCTAATAACAAGCTCTTGCAAACTGCTAGCACCTCTCGAAATAGAAAAATAATAGTATTCCTGGGCCAAATCGAGGGCTGCCATAAATTAGCTTAGTGTCAGTGCTGCCCATTGACATCAGCTGAGGGCTTGGCCCCAGGTGTTAAGCAAAACTCTTTTTTGGTGTGTGCATGTGTCTGGTCGGTTCCATTAGCCTTGAGCTGGGCAGCTCCCAGGAATTCAGAAAGCAGATGGTTAGGTAATGTCTTCGGGACGCGACAGAAGGGATGGTGCYCTCATCAAAGGCTGTTGCTAACCATGGCTTGACTTCATGCACTGCAATCAGCACCTCCACCTAGAATGCGTAAGGATTTCTTGGGAAGCAAGGTTACACCAGGAAGCTGCACCAGCCGCCTCCAAGCCCAAGTTAGAGTCAGGCTCCCTCACTGTAGTGAATCACTCATGTTCAGCTTCTCTTGCTTTGCCTCTGGAGAGCCCAGCATTTAACTTCTCCTGAGTATATCTCACACAGGACCATGCATTTTGGAGGCCACTGCTTCCCAGGGCACAGGAGCTCAAGGGTATTACTGGTCAGAAGGTAGTTYTCCAGTGCCTTGGGAAGTAAGGTACTTGCCTTTGAGCTAAGGCAGCACTAGGAGTCTTTTGAGTGGGCTACTATATGCTACAAGTGGGCTTTTGATATTTCCAGTGAGGCTCATCACAATAACCACCKGTGCCCTCCTCCTTGAACCCATATAAATGATGTTTTCTTATTGAAAAATAGCACTCAGATAAATGAGTTTGCACTTTTGCACTACGTTTTCTCATTGACACATTTTACCAGGGTAGTTGGACTGGAACCTGCAGGTCTTTTGTGTATATACCAGAAAAGAAAATAAACTTCTTCCTACTTGGGGTACTTCGTTAGTTAAACTGATAAAATTTATCTATCTCTGAACCCTTAAAACTCAGGTATWCCTTCTGTGTATCCCTGAAGTTTAACATCCACATTTAAAAGAAGCACTGCTCAGGGGAATGTAGTCAAAGAGCAGCAACAGTAAAAATTAACCAAATACCAGGTATATAAGGACACTTGGGTACTTATGCAAAATTCACACTACTTATGCAATTTAATCCTGGTCTAAAATGTCCTGCTCCACCAGATGCCCTTTGACGATACATAGCARTGGGATGCTGAAATTGGCATAGCTGCATCCTTTCAGCATGAAAAACAACAGCCAGAAATGGGCTGACTCCTCATGTCAGTATGAGAACTTTTAGGTGATCCCATACCTATCAATTCCTCTGTGTCCATAACCTCCTAGGCTCAAAATGCCACAAGTTTATGACTCAACCTTCCCCTTAAACGTTGCTTCTTTAGGTACAAAAGAGACCAACAAGGGGACCCCAATATGATTAAACAGTTTAAATTTTGTCCTGATCTTTGAAGCAGGAGGACAAGGCTGCCAAGCAGGGTCAAAGATGGTTCCTGGGCAGYTGGAATTTCTGTCCACAGAGGGAGAAAAGGAGCAGCAGTAGGTGCTGGGCAAAGGCATTTCTGGTCAMCAGAAACAAACCTACTCACCTGACAAGACTAGTAAATTGCACAATGTCAGATGTCAAGAGACCTTCCCAAACACTGTTTGCAAAGTCCAGGGACTGTTTATGTTGGGGTGGGGGGAAAAGTATTCATTCCCCCTTGCAATGGGTTAAGCAGCTCTTACCCCTAAGATAAGCTACTTGTGCTAAAATGTTAACAASTGACCTAATTTATTTTAGATATGGAGCAAAAGTGGCCTCTGCTATTCAAGTTTTGGTGGACGGCTTAGGGGAGGATAAAAACCAGAAGAAAAGGGATGTCTTTTCACAAAAAGGCACTATACTATCCTGTCAGTAGATAAGGTTTTTCTGCTTTGGCTACTCCATCTTCCTAAATTATACCGAAAGTCCTCTAGGTTTTGAAAATGAYAATCTGAAAGCAGTGTAGAAAGAAATCCCTTCCCGAGAAACAGTTAAAAACTCAGTGATAAAAATAGCAGCTTTCTGCTTTGACACAGCAGCTCTAGCTTGTTCCTGTCAAGGTGGTTTTAAAACAGGATTTCAGGTCACAGGCAGAGAAAGCCCCTCTCAGCTACCATTTCAGAACTCTGCTTGGCTTCTTCCTAATCCCTGTAGCAACAAGATCAGGCTCCTAAAAATACCCAGGAAAAAAAATACAGGAGCTCAATCAATCCATTACTTTCAGAATAATATTTGCAGATTCCTCATTTCCCTCTGCGATACCATCACATTTCATCATGAAAGTCAGGTTAAGGTTTTACTTGGCATCAGCACCTCTTGTGGTGAAGGGAACAGAAATTTTGGGCTTCCAACAGCTGTGGAGAAGGGCTTGAATATTACATCATTTATCAGTAGTGTTTCCAGAAAAAAAGGAAACATTCCATGAAAAGATAATTTACTTGTCTTAATAATGTAAGCAGGAATTAAAGTGGAGAAATCCCTTCTGGCAGGATTTTTGACAGTTACCTTCATTTTCATCCTTGCACTGCACATGTCTACTTTGAAAATKAATACAGTTTCCATTCAAAAGGGGAAAAAAACCAGGAAAAGAGTGTGAGAGGGAGCCTGTGATGTAAAACTCATTGACTACAATATTTTCTGAGAAGCTTACCTGCTCTAAAGTCTTTACAGACAGGCACCTTGGAGAATATTGGGGAAATGTTTAAGCACATTTAGTAAGAACACGCCAGGGTTTGGCTTTAAATAAAATGTGCATTTAGGCAAAGAGAAGCGATGGATCCAATACTGTACAGAATAGATACTCATTAATGACTTTTTCCTAGTCAAAAGAATTGGAAATCATTCAAGAGAAGAGGAAATGGTAATTTGTCAGTTCCCATGTTATCACTATTGCTGCTGGTAGTGGCAGGACCCAGTTTCCTCTGCTCCCATGAGACCCCATCAGTGCCAGCTCTGTGTGAGCACAGAAATCCAGAGGCAAATCTCCAGCACTTTACTGCATGTACAGTCAAACGGCATCTGTGGATGGGAGGTCCCTTCTTGAACTAGAACAAAGGCCAGGGAGGCCAAACTTCATTCTCTGGCCTAATGAGGGCCTAGCTAAATATTGCTGAGAAAACATCCACGAGGGAATGGGAWAAAACAGACTCCAGACTGGATGGAACTACTCTCAGCACAAGTCACCTGGTGATTCTTGAAGAAGAAACAATGAAGCAGGTCCCACTTGGGACTAACTCTGGTTACCTCTATTGGATGGTCCTGCCCGCCTGAGTCTTCAACTCTTTTGGTGGAGTGAGAACTTAGGGCTTCATCTCTCAAAGGTTTTCACAAATGCCATTAAATCCCTGCTACCTATACAGCTTAAAATTAACAAGTATGTCATCTCCAACACTGCTTAGCATGAGAGTTTTCCATCCATAATTTCCACCCATATAAACAAAACTTGTTTATGAATGCAGTTYAAAAAAAGAAAAAAATATCTKCACATCATACTGAAAGCAACACACCCTACTGCTACCACAAAAAAAGGCTGGGGCTGAAAGCCTGTAATGCAACACAGCCCCAGTTAAATAATCTATGATGTTTGCACAATAGTTTTAATAATTTTTTTTAATCCAACTATTTTTTGCAGATCTGCATGTTAACTCAGTCACTCAGGGTAAATTGGTGCAAACTTATCCCTGAAGCTATAATAYGGTATTAATTTTTTCCAGAATGATGCATTCAAAAATCCTTGCTTGGCTACTGAGGGTTGAGACTGCCTTACCAACTGCAAATTTGAAATAAGATAGATTTATGTTTTGCTGGTCTCTTCAGAGCATRTTTTCAAACCTTTCTGTGCAACCACAAGGAACAGAACCTCAAATATAGAAGCAGACAGACCTATTTATCAGGATCCTGTACTGATTTTTTCAGACACAGAGCTTGACTTCATACCCAAGGCACTGCCAAGCTCTTAAACAAGTTTCTGGCAGCTCCTTGGAGGTGACAAAGAATGGATGGTGTTTCTGACCCCAGCGTAGCAAGGCTGTGTTGTGCTACCTCAAAGCCATGTGGTCCAAATGGGGAACTGAGCTGTCCTGGGACAGACAAGACAGGGAGCAGAGAGATGAAGGCATAGGGAMCTCACCAAAGACACAGCTTCCAGGCAAGCTGTACTAGACTGTTTTAATCCCCTCTTGAAGTGGGGGCTGCAAAATATAAGATACTTTAACAAAGACAACTGATGTAATACAGGACTGGAGTCCCCAGATTCCCTTTGAGCATCAGATATCAGGCTCAGAACACAGCAGACATGTCACAGCCTGAGGAGCCACAGGCAGGAGGTGAACACTTCCATAGAGGTCTGTCTGGAGTCCAGGTCCCTGCCCCAATCACAGAGCTAAAGGGATAAAAACT